CAGTTCTGTTCTCCTCTAAATTTGGAGAATGTTTGGACAGTTTACTTATTTATTTATTTTAATAACCAGCGATCCAAACAGTCTATTGCACCACACCCCCACCCCCACTCCAAAAAAATTCTGCTTTGGTAGATAAAGGCATCTTGTTTTAAAGTGGCCACATAAGAGTCATGTTACTCAGAAGCACCTTTTAATTCAGTTTATGAGGGAAAGGTTGCGCATCTTATTGAGCTCATCATTTGTAGCTAACTGCATGCACACTCTTTAATTGTAGTTTAGATGAATTTGTTCAGTTTGTGATAGTATATGGTAGAAGTGAAAATGCAGGTCTTGAAAAAAAAGTATAAATTATTTAAATAAAACACTGCATGGGATGCTTTCTTAATGAAAGAAAAGAACACTGAAATAATTGGATTGCAAATACTTTTTTATTATTAGAAATTTAAGAAGGGAATGTGCTAGATGGAAAACATTCTTACCCTTATTTTTTGGAAGAGTATTTCTGAGAGTCTATATAAGAATGTATCTTTCTTTATTTTTGTATTGTATCAAGAGCTTTTAAAATTTTAGATAATTGTTTCTTGGAACTTAAGTTAACTTTCATATGTGTCATCATGGAAGAAAAAAATTAGTGTGCGCATATGAAATGACACCAGAAAATTATTTTCTTTTTTAAGTAGTGAAACATTGTCTTCAAAATGTATATATTAGAAGTTTTGCTAGATCTTACTTTTCCTTGGGAATTTTCTTAGTGGTTGTCAATCATGTAAAAATATTTGACTTTTGAGCCTTCACTGTTGCTCTTGTCTGAGGAAATTTTCACTAGGCCTTTCCTGGAGACTGGAGCAGGCCTTCACATGACATAATGTTTCCTCCCTAAATCCAATATCAATAAAAGCAGAAAGTTCAAGATCTATATGGAAAAAAGTGTAATAAGAAAGTGCTCTCGGCTATTGTTGAGTCTTTGAACTATCTCTCCAAATCCCATAAATCTCATGATATCTGATCTGTTTAGTTCAGTCATGCATTTTCTGAGCATATCAGTCTGGGGCTTCAAGAAAAGGGGACACGTTTCCCATAACTACACTTAATATATACTACTGAAATAACAACGAAAGGTAGCTGCCTTTTAATTGTTTTTTATTAAACAATTAATTCATTTTAGATTGAAAGAATTTGAAGTACTCCTTCTTTCGAATGGTTGAATATCTAGTATTTTAGGTCTTAAGATAAATTTGTGAAGTATGTAGCATGGCTAGCCTCCTTTTTGCTGTACACAACGTATTCCCCATTCCGTGGCATTTTCTTATTTACATTTTCTTTGTGCCTTAGGACACACATTGAGGTCCTACTTTCTGTCAGGCCCTTTGGCAGTGAGGGTTACTGGTGAGCAGCACATGCTTCCTGCGGTCAGTGTTTTTAAATTGAGACTGAGGAATCAGATGATTGAAAACATATTATGAAAGCCCGTGTGTTGCTTTATTTCTGAGAAAAGTGCAGGCAGGACATGGAAACGATGAGACACCTAATGGTTAGTCGGGAGCACCAGGTTGCCGGAAGGGCTTTCTGTAGCTGCTGCCTGAGGAGGCTCTTAGCCACTTGTCTATTAGAGTTGCTCTCAAGCAGTAATCAGCTATCAGATGTCAGCATTCATTCAAGTAAATATATTCATCTTCTTGAGGGTATTTAGTTTGCAAGTATTTTCTCCTGAGTCGACTGAAAAGCTCTGCTTTTGACAACAGTAGTGGTTCTTTACTTTGTGTGATCCACCGGTGACCTTTCCCCTGCAAAACATGTGGTGACTGTGTTTATAAACTCATGCATATTTTTTGCAGACAGCTTTTAGGAAATCACAGATTGGAAGCCTCCTTGAAGCTGGTCCCTGAACCACAGTGTTGGACTACGTATTCTCACATTAGGGTATAGGGAACCACAGTGTTGGACTACGTATTCTCACATTAGGGTATAGGGAACCACAGTGTTGGACAACGTATTCTCACATTAGGGTATAGGGAACCACAATGTTGGACTACTTATTCTCACAGACACTCTTTTCTAAAATGTGTTTATTTTGTCTTTCTTGGTCTCCGATTAAAAATTTTTTTGTAGTACGATGAATGCAAATAGTCTTCAGGAGAAAAACAAAACCTGTGGTTTTCCATGTAGTTTAAAAATCGTTCTTTTTGACATTTTATTTTGAATTACTGGTTAGCTCTCAACCCATTTTTGACCATAGGAATCCAAGCAGAATTCCAGATAGGAAATATTATAATTGCACTTGGGCCCTTCCCTAGTATTGTCATCTATAACCGGTTTCCTATATTGCTTCAAGTTCTGCTATCACTAGCCTCAAATCACTATGTTAAATGGAGCACAGGAGTGATAATTCATAGTTTTAAAACTTTCTCTCTAGTTTTGTTTTTTAATGCAAAATAAATAGAAAATACCCCGTAGAAAGAAAAACAGAAAACTCCAAAGTGCACTTGAGAATTACAAATATTTTGGAGCTAAATAAAAAATATATATTAGCTTATAATGCAAATTCTAAATCCACATTAATATAAATTGTCTTGATCCAGTATGCTATACCAATGATAAGTAAAATATTTTAGCATGATGAAATAGGACACCTTAAGGAAAACTTTAAACGTGTGAAATATAAAGAAAGAAATTGTGCATTTTAATCTATGTGATAGCTGCCCGGGCTGGGTAGCTCAATTGGTTAGAGCATTGTCCCGATATGCCAAGGTTTCAGGTCTGATCCCAATCAGGACACATACAAGAATCCGCAATGAATGCATAAATAAGTGGAACAATAAATTGGGGTTTCTATCTCTTTCTTCCTTTCTTTCTTTCTTTCTTTCTTTCTTTCTTTCTTTCTTCCTTCCTTCCTTCCTTCCTTCCTTCCTTCCTTCCTTCCTTCCTTCCTTCCTTCCTTCCTTCCTTCCTTCCTTTCTTCCTTTCTTTCTTTCTTTCTTTCTTTCTTTCCTTCCTTCCTTCCTTCCTTCCTTCCTTCCTTCCTTCCTTCCTTCCTTCCTTCCTTCCTTCCTTCCTTCCTTTCTCTCCTTTCCTCTTGCTCTCTCAAATCAATAAATATTTAAAAAATTTGTATTAGATTGAAAATTCCAACATGTCTATTTTTTTCTATTGATCATATCAAATTTTAAAGATCGATAAAACTTACAGGCTATCAAGTTTACACGTAAATGAATTGGCTTAGTCACTCACTACTACTTGTTTTCAAAGAAATATTTGGTTTTCTCCTGAAGCAATTTTTGGCATATTGAGAACCACCTAACTCTTCTGAAGCTATTAGTTCGGAAAAAATGACAAATAAAAAATGAACTTATGTGCGCCAGAAAAGTTTTGTCTCCTCTTAAGAATTGTCTGGCCTTGTGCCTTTTCGTCTCCCCAGAAGTAATGTTTTTGCTTCTGTGAAGTATTGTATCCTTGGACTGCTGATTCTGTTTGATATAATCCATCAAGACATGAATCCTATTGCACGTGAAAAGTCATTACAAGAAAATAAAAATCTAAAACACATTTGAGTTTTATTTTACCGTACTACTTTTATTATATAAATGTAGTACTGACAAACTGTGTTTTGTTTGGTTGAATGCCTCAGCTTTCAAGTCAACCAGCTGATTCAGAAGAAAGTAAAAGTTTATTCTTGCAGGAAAAAAATACTAATAATATAGATGATGATAATGATAATTATTTGTACTAATGGGAGCTTGTTAAAAATGTAGGGTTTGAGGCCTCTCTCCAGACCAGCTAAATCAGAGCTTGCATTTTAACCAAGTCTACTGTGATTCCTATGCAAACTGATGCTAGAGAAGTATTAGTGTCTCTAGCTGCCCCCCCAGCACTAAGGAAGCAAGCCAGGCTGAGAGTCACTGCCAGTGAGTGCCCACAACAATTTGTATAATAAATACATGTGATGGAAGATTTAAATAATTACCAAATTTGGATTTACTTTAAAGTAGGGTGAAATCTTGAAGAAAAAAAAAGACAATGCAAAATTTATTTTTATGAAAACTAACAAGCCTTTTATATAATAACAAAATATTTTATTTAGGCAGGCCACTATTTCCTGGGATGTCTGGCTTTAGGGGAAGTGGAACATCAGAGGTTTCTGTTGCCTGTGAGTGAAACTGATTAGAATCTGGATTCAGTTTTAGGTATCAGGAGCAACCGCTTAGCCAGGGCTATAAACTGTTTTACAGACTTTTCATTACTTTGTTTCTCTGATGGTAAAGGATAGGAAACATCTCTTTACTTCTACAGGCTGCCATTCCATTGACATGAGAGCAGGAGAGATGGGTTAACGAGAGAATTCTAATTCTAATAAAAATGTTTCTGTATGTTGCACTGATAAACTACATTGAACTAATTTTTATTTTCTTCCTTTCTGGATTTGCACATAAACCTAATCCCTTATCACATATCAGTATTTTTATGAGGGAACTAAACTGGGTAAATAATTTTATATGTTAAACCTTTGATCAAAGCCTAACGCATGTATAACTTTCAGGATTAAAGTTTAAATTTCACAAAATAACTAATTTTATTAGCTAGCATTTTATAGCTAAAATTCATAAGTCTTACAGTTTGAATCCAGTAAAGGACAGTGATTTGAAAAGCATGGATTTTGTCACTTCCTAAATTTTTCATGTGTTGCCTTACTTTTGGTTTTGCAGAAGAAAAATCTAAAGCAAAATTTTCAAAAGAAAAGTTTGTAAACTTGTATCAAAAAACAAGTATCCAGAACTTTCAAGGCATTTGTCCATATTTTACTACCTCATGATTAATTTATTATTTCTCTTAAGTTTGTGGTTTTCTAAAGTTATTATATGTTGATTTCTGATAGTACTTAGTGATTGGTTAATTTTGGACTCAAATAAATAAGGAGGCTTATGCTGATCTTTTAATGAGCCTTGTTTACATTGATTTTGCTTTTAAATATTTTCCACTTTAATTGAACTTTTCTTTTTTTTTAGCTGTGTTTTGGGGCGATATTGCCTTAGATGATGAAGACTTAAATATCTTTCAAATTGATAGAACAATTGACCTTACACAGAACCCCTTTGGAAAACTTGGACATACCACAGGTACGGTTGTATTGGTTTCAATTTGCATTAATTTAGAAGAGAATATACTCTTTAAATGCTATAATGTCTCTCTGAACAACTTTGATTTCCTGGACACAAATGAGCCTATTTAGAAATTAAAGATTTGCTCATAGTTTTTATTTCATTAGTTAATTTATTTAACCAACAGGTTGTGGTGTTTAAGTGCTTTGGAGATATTAACTCTTTGAATCCTCCTAAGAACCCCAAGAGGGTAGATACTAAAGTAATTGTGATTTACAAATGTGGAGATTGAGGTTTAGAAGGTTATATAGTTTGCTTATTGTCACACAGCCAAGAAGTGTCTGAGTCAGGACCAAAATTCAATTCCGAGGAAGGCCAAATTTCACTCTTGAGCATTATATTCAGTTGCCTCCCATTTCCAGTTGCAAATATTGAGTTGCAAAATGTAAAGTATTCATAAAGTAATTATACACAGACTTAGTTAGATTCATCTATCTTTTGATATAATTTTTATGAAAACCCGGAAGACAATTTTAATTATAGTTGTTTGACATGCTTGAATTGTGCCTATATGAGACTTGTAATATTTAAAAGGTTGTTTGAGTTCTCATTTTAAAATATTTTCATTAAAACTTGAAAATTGTTCATATTATCTTGATATGATTTTTATTCTGTATTATATTTTGGAGGACATTTGCAGCTTTAAAAATTCTTTTTGTAGCTATAACTAAAAAAATTCACTCAATGTAGTGCTTTTTGATCTCATTGAATCTCCCCTCAAACCCAGTACTATTTTTATTTTCTTCTGTTCTATGGAAAATAAAATATATAGTTTATTTGTGGTATCCAGCAGACAAAAACTTGGCTTAAGACTTTTTACTGTGAATTAATATCTCTGTCCAATTTGATTTTTTTGCACCTTTTGATTATGCCAAATTTGAAAAAGTTGATAGGATAGTGTAAGAGGCACCACCACAATGGTATTCCCACTTAAAGATGCAATAATTGTTACATTTATCATATTTGCTCTGTGTGTATGTGCATGTATACTTGCATAAGCACGCATAAAACATTTTGAAATTAATTGCAAACTACATAGCATTTTTATATTAAGTAGATTAGCATTCACATCTTGAAAATAAAGATATTATCGTATATAATCAAAATACCACTATCACATATAAGAAATTTATATCATAACACAACTTACAGATTTATTTAAAATGATAATACATAGTTCTTTAAGAATTGTATGCTCTAACCTTTGTTATGTGTAGGTTCTGAAACATATCCCAAACATAGGAGGAACGCTACATTGCAGTGTGCTCACATATAGTACATTCCTGTAGGACACTTGTATTGACAACTCTCCAGTTGCTATCTCACACTTAACCGGGCCACAGAGACAATGGATTTGGACAAGAGAGCAGTGAAACAACTCAGCAAATCCTTGATTTATCATGTTACATTTCATTTCTTACATAAATTTTTGTTAGCTTCAACTTTGGTCAGGTCATTTCTTTAACCCATTGTCTCTCTTCATATTGGGAGAATTCATTTTCTGTGATTTAAAAAATGGTAATACTATTTAATTTTGTCATTTCATTTATAGTTAAGCTCTGAAATAGTAATAGTTGGAAGAAAACTATCATTATTTTAGGTAAATAGCATAAAACAGGTTATACTCTCAATCATAAAAAAACACATTCTAAATGAATATGTGAAAGGTACATGTTTGAAAGTAGTTTGCATTATTCAGTTACATTTCAATGTAAAAGTATTCTGTTTTATTTTTTACTTTATCTTTTTCCTTTCTTTTTAGTTTCTTTTGAATTGATTCTATTTCTTATTTCTTAATTTCAAAATATATGGTCTTTCCCACAAATATTTATTTAGTTTGAATATTTTCATTTTGTTTTTGGAATATGTGAGAAATAACCACCTATTTCATTCATTTTCTTTTTTTTCTATTCCAGTGAACTATCTAGATAGAATTTTATTTCAATGCCTATAAAAATTATTCAAAAATCCTAAATATAAAAACATTATTCACTTTGATAGCCTTGAAACATTTTATTTGTCAAGTCTATAATTACTGTAATCCTAATTACCTTAATACTAAGACATTTCTCACAATCTGTTTCAGTCCTATAGAATATGAAACATAATGGTCACTTTAAACATATAGATGCCATCCTTTAAAAATGTTTCTTGTAACTGTTTAGGAATGAACATGTTTAAGTATTATCTCATCTCTCTAAAATGTTCAATGAAAAAAATTTCAAACATTTTTCTCAAGGGGCACAGCAAAAATGTGACCATGTAATGCAGATAATTAAACAGAATCTTAGACTGTGAGCAAGCACTCTAACATGTTTACCTTATAAGGACCTAATTGATTTTTGATAAGGTGCTTATATGATAATAATTTTTATTATTTTATTAGCTTCAATCTAGGTCATTAAGTTACAGTGTTAATTTCAAAGGGGGAAAAACAGATATTGAGAGGTAAGAGTTCAAAGTCCAGATTGCTGTTTTTATGAATTTCTGGTCCTCTTTCACTGTTTTAGCCCAAAGAGACTCATGAATTCGTGGTATGAGTCTGTTTGCACTTGTTCTGATATCATTCGTGATCATATTGGTTGTTTGCTCAGTGATACCTCTTTGTAGTTTGTCTGTTAAAAATTCAAGAAGGGAAACTAGGTGGTAAAGCTGAGAGAGCATTTTTATTAAAACCCTAGAATAAGAGGACTTGATTTTCATAAAATATCTGTTTTCTGACTTCTGACAGGAATCTACCTATTCTAGTCTTTGTTGTTAAAATTGCAAGAAAACATATTTCCTTTTTTTGACCCTTGCTTCTGCCTTTTAAGTTACAAAATTACATCTATTTTTGTAAATTTGATCATAACTTGGGAACAAAATTCACTCTCTCCGTTTTCTCTACTGTTTTTATTTCCATTTGCTGATTTGGCGTCTGAAAATGTTCAGTTTGCATTGGGGAAATAGCTAGAATGCAGTCAACAGGGCAGAATAACTTGCTGTCATCCCATGTGATGTCATTGCCACAGTGAAGAAAAATGTTTCAAATTACCAATAGATGACTCAATTTCCGTGATGTCCAAATAAAGTCATGGAGAGTGCTCTCTGGATCTCCCTCACGGCCTTAGTTTTAGTTACCAAAATTTGCTAATGTATAATTGTTCTCCTCTTCTAAGATTTATGGATATTCATGACTTTAACTTTCTAAGACCACATTAAAAAAAGATGTCACAAGAGAAATTAATGTAGCCTATTACTATTGTTTATTTACAAGAACTTCAAAATACAGTGTTTGATTTAACTATTTTATTTTTATTTTTAAGGTGGATATGGAGACCATGGTATGTCAAAGAAACGAGGGGCCCTCTACCAACTTATAGACAGGATAAGAAGAATTGGCTCTGGTATATCAATGTTTAAAGTTGCAGACGCTTGACTTGATGTACAGTAAATATTATACTCATAGCAGTTCAGTTTGCCATTATGATGCAAAGTATGTGAAGGCTATATGCTAAGAAAGAGTCCCTTATTTTTATTGTTAGTTGATATTTGATGTAAGTCCTTTAGAACTTAATGGGGGACAATTGCAATGTTTTGTTAACTTATTTTCAGCTTCTCCTTATTTAAAAACGCATTAGGTATTTATATTATTGTTAATATGTATTTCTAGTAAATGGAGTATCACACCAAGGTGTTTTATTAACCATGGAACTACATCAGTTTTAATCAAATGAAAAATATCATGGCTGCTTGAAATAAAATTCACTTAAATTGACAAACATTTATTAAAGAGTAGCTGAATTTTTTTTGACCCTTCCAAAAACACATATAGAAAAACATTCATAATTAGTTAATATTTATAGTATTGAATTTATGAACCCCTATTTGTAGATTTGAGTTGGGTTGGTTTTTTTTTTTAAAGAATGTTCAAATTTCATATTCTAACCCCTTAAATTGATGGTTTAATTTTTCCAAGCAAAGATGATTTGCTCCAGGGTATTAAAGAGACATGCTGTACACCTGAAACTAAAACAAAGTAATATTGAATGGTAAACTATAATTGGAAAATAAAATTTAAAAAAATACATTAGGGACATGACATAGGGCATATAGTCATATTTATTGTGTCTGAAGTGTCTACTGGCCATAGGATATTTGTGTTGGCAGTGATAGATGAATAAGAAAAAATAATTCTGCAAATTTAGTAGCAAACATTTATGAAAGGCCACCAAGACACGTTAACGACTACAGATTTGAAAGATGCTCCAGGATCGACTACATTTTATGTTGACCTGTTCACTGTGCACCGATGTTGCTGTGTACCTGGGTATGAGTCCACGGGAAATTGGGATGGAGCTAGCCATTGTCCCAGGAGGCAGAGCCCTTATCTGTCTTAACGTTATTTCCTTCACTTTCTCTATAATGTAATATTCATAATTTTAATCTGTCCTATAGAATATCAATGCTAAAAAATGATTAAGGATTTAGCAGGAATAAGAATAGTTTTGATTATCATAGAACTCTTTGAACAATGTCTTTTATTTTGGTGGTGAATTTCCTAGTGGTCTAGTAAAGTAGAATACTTACATAAAAGAATTTTTCTGAGGCCTGCAAAGTTTGCCCGACTTCTACCCACTGTAGGCTATTGTATAAAAATTGATTAGAATCTGCTCATAGAGCATTAAGAAATAGACTTAATGTGATACACTTAAAATCTTTTAATACTTTCTTCAAGTACGTAGTATACATGAAGCTTGTCTTTAGTGCATGACTTCACGCATACTAGTACTTATACAAATATGTAAATAAGACATTTTAACTTTTGTCCTTTAAGGGGTAAATGACTCCCTGCCTGAGGACTTGTTTCACAGAATCTTTTAAATGTCACTGCAGGCTTGGAGCAAAACAACACAGTTAAGGAAAAAGTACCTCTAAAATTCTCAGGGCAAAATGAGAAAAATCGAGTTCCGAGAGCTGCTACATCAAGAACAGACAGAATATGGCCCGGAGTGTTATTCCTTACGTTATAGGAGGCAACTTCACTGGTAAGATACTCCCCCACATGTCTATTGTGATAAAGAAATAATAATTATCATACAGATAAAGGGGACATTTTTATAGAATATTAATCTATAAAACGTAGTATTAAACCAAACTTGAGAAATGCTCCCCTCACCTCAGTTGTTAGTTTAGAATGTTTTGTAATTGAAAAATTTATTGAGTCTTGAGTTGTAAGAGTCTCAGGCACTGTCCTGGCTTTTAAACCAAGTTTCAAATGTGTCCATTAAATCTGGAAGCTGATTTCTCTTCAACTGACAGGAAACATGTATGTCCCGTTCCCAGGGCCGTCCACACATACTTGTAGAGATAGTAAGATTGAACCTTCTGATTATAAAGTGGGTGTCCATCCTTAACAATGGCTCACTTGTGGCGCCCCAGGCTTCTGTTCTTTGGTTGATGATAGTGTTGGTGTCTGAACTGCTCGGAGTCTGCGTGTAGCAGCTCTCTCTCTCTGGGGCAGACCCTGTTTGTTAATGTCATGCCATTTTTCCAGGCAGCCAGCGAGCCATGTTCAAGCAGGCCATGAGGCACTGGGAGAAGCACACATGCGTGACTTTCATTGAAAGGAGTGATGAAGAGAGTTACATTGTATTCACATACAGGCCCTGTGGGTGAGTAGAACCAAGGATGACTTAAGTCAACTTAGAAGGGAAACAAATCCACAGGCAGGATTCATTTCCTAATACATGCTGAGTATTTTGCCCATAAGAAAGTATAAATTTACAAAAGAAAATATTCTAAGTACATATATTCTTTGATCACTGACCTTAGTGCATGAATCTCAAGGGCATTCCTCCGTGACCCCAGCTGCTTTTCCTCGTGTTCTAACGTGGCATTGCCTGTGCCCCACGCGCCTGGGTTAGGAACGTCAGCAGCAGCATCTAGTGACTCTATTGTGCTTCCTCTACAAGCATTAAGTTTCCTCTGATGTTCACTCTGTCTTTTGGTTTCCGCTTCTGTGCTCCGTCAGTGCCCTGGTCCATTCATGCCTTGGTCATCTCACACCTGATCCATCCCAGCTGCTCTCCTGCGTTGCCTTACCAAGTCACTGCCACTAGAATTATCTTCACAAAACGCCGGTCACAGCAAGAGACCACACTTTTATGAGATTCTTTTCTAGACTTGCTTCTTACAGGATGATGATAAAAAACTCTCTCCAAAACAACTCATCTGTAATTTGTGGAAATGCTGTATGAAATTTTGATAGCCATTCCTGTAGCAGTGTGCTGATGAACATTGCTACTATTCAACCAATGGAAAGGAATGGAGAATAACAGGCTCCTCTAAACTTACTTTAAAAAATAAATAAATAAACTTACTTTAAGAAAGGAGCACCCATTTCACCCTTTTAAAAGCGACAATCACACATCAGTGTCTCGGAGCACATTTTGGGAAGTGCTAGTCTGAGAAGAAAATCCACATTCCTTGGTATAACATTTAAGGAATGCTGTGAACTTACCACAGCTTCCCTCGGAAGCTTCTTCGGCCACCGCGTCTCTCCACAAATCCCATCATCTAGCCAAGTTGCAGTAATAGCCGTTCTTGCAGCAATGCGGTTATGCTGTAAAAGGCTTCCGATTGGGGAAGTTTTCAAACTCTTCTTCCCTGTATTCATTGGAACTTACATTTACATGTGTAAATTCAGCTTGAATTTTGGTTTGCTTGCTTGCTAAGAATACTTGGCAGGGGGCAGGGTGTGCTGTCTACACTGCATCACATCAGGAGGCACAGGCGCCTGGACCTGCCAGGCATGGAACAGACTGGAACCTAAGAGGGAAGGCAGGGAAGGTTGGGTGGGTGGGAAAAGATAAACCAATGAACTTGTATGCATATGTGCATAACTCATGGACACAGACAATAGTGTGGTGAAGGCCTGGCGTCGGGGACAGGGCAGCCTAGAAGAGGTCAATGGAGGGGGCGGGAGGGAAGGGAACATATACCTGGTATAATACTTTCAACAATAAAGATTTTTTCTTAAATGCATCAATAGATTCAAATGGTGACAGCCACATCCTGCCACCTTAAAAGTTCCCATCATTGCAAAATAGTGATTTTCCTAATGGTGTTCTTTTCTTATCCTTCCTACATTGATTAGCTCAAATTCTTCTATAAAGAGGAAGTTTCTCTAATCACTTATATCTATTTGGATGCCCTCTGGTGTACTTTATACAGGGAAATAAACATAAATGCTTAATTTGTTTGGAGGAAATAGTTCTTGACCTAATGATGTTTTTTGTTGTTGTTGTTGTTGTTGTTATTTGTTTGTTTTTGCGGGGGGAGTATATTTCATGAGGTATGTCATTTCGCTTTGTGCTATCATATTTTCCTAGATCATTTAACTTAAAACTAATGGATTTTATTTCGGCCCTGAGTGACATTAAGAAAAATGATACATTATTTATTTTCTATATATTTTTGGATAGCACCATAGTTTTTTAGTTATGACTTATTCAAGTGATGTTTTCTTTTAAGTTACTCTAATTTTAACTTGATGAGGTTTGGTTACTTTTGAAATGCTTCCTAGTTTTTATATCTATTTAATATTTAAAAGGTCTAAATCTGGACTGTCCTTCCTTCTGGTTATTTAACAGAAAAGGATGTAACTCAGCTTACATATTTCTAAACACATAAAGTATTCAGTCAGATCTTTCTTCTTTCCCACCCTTCAATTTTGTAAAGCAAATACAACCAAAGCATGGATCACTTGTTATTTTATTGCTTAATTTCTGTTTGTAACAAATTCATACTCATTTTCTTTCATTCATTTGGCTCTTTTCAAAGTTTTACATTTCACTTGTTTGATCCTGCTAAACTACTTTCCCCCATTCATTATCATTTCTTCATGTTTTTGCTCGTGATCTGTTAGTCGCTTGGAATGCCTTTGCTTTCATTTTCCAACAGTGGGTATCCTTCACGTATTTCATTCTCAGTCATTTCTGAGCTGCCCACAGAGGGGCTTTGCTTTATCCACAGCTCTCACGGTTACATTTCTGCTGCCCGTTCCCTGTCGGCCATCATCAGTGAGAGGGCAGCTAGCTGATCTCCATGTCCCTCGACACCCAGCACTGCTTTACAACTAGGGACCTAGAAAATACTGACAACTTACATGTTAGCTAAAGTACATTGTGTGTAACTCAAAATAAAAGAATGTAAGAATTTAAAGGGGTATTGAAGGGAAGTACTGTACAGCCTCAGAACTGATAACTGGAAGTTTGTACCATTTCACCCCCTTTGCCTATTTCTCTCACCCCCAGCCCCTTCCTCTGGTAACTACCAATCTGTTCTCTGTATCTGTTGAGCTCTACTATGTTGAGCTGTATTCTAGGGTCCACAGATACAGCAGTGAACAAAGCTGTTAAATGGTGGGCCCCCAGAGAGCTTACTTAGATTCTAGGGTGGGGAAGCAGAAACACAGAAATAAGTGAAATATAAAGTGTATTAATAAACACTAACTTCTAGGACAAAAAGTAAAGCGATGTATGTAAGACAGAAGGGCATTTGTGCAAAGACCGGAAAGCCATGAGGAAGTGAGACATATGCAGGTAGGGGAGAACAGAGTTCCTGCCAGAGGGAGTAGGCAGCAACAAGGCTGTGAGCGAGAGCACGTCTACAGGCTCACGGCACAGCAGGGCCGCATGGCTGAGTGGAGTGAGTGACGGGACAGTAGTAAGAGATGAGATGGTAAGACATTTGTGTGGGAAGATCATGTAGGATCTTAGAGTTTTTGTAAGTACTTTAGACTTTCCTCTGAGTAAAAGAAAGAGCCTGTATTAGTCAGCTGAGGCAATTTATAAATTTATAATAAGTATGTCAGAGGTCATATTACCACATTTTTCTACTGTCACAGGACCATTGTAAAAGTCAATGTGAAATGTATTTTTGCTTCCCATATGGACCCCATCTTATTTATTGGAGAGGGCTATGGGCGAAAGTACACTACAAAAGGTGTTTGACATTAAATAAGTTGACCCTTCATCTTGATTATCTCCTAGATTTTGATTTGCAAAGTAATTTCTTCTGTGATTATGACCAGCAAAAATGACTCAGTGTGGTTAATTTAGTTACTACCTAATTATCAGATATTTCGTTTTTTTGTCACTATTGCTATATGGCAGCAAATATTTAAATCTTTCCAAAATCTGTACATTTTGTGGGTTTTTTACATCTAATATTTTATTATTGGGTATGTACTAAATAACTATCTATGTATGGATTACAACATACTATTGAAACAAAACTACCTGGGTGCAGAAACACAATTCCCTGATTGTTTCTCTGCCAGTTTTCTCTTTCTATTATTGATTTATTAAGTTTAATTAACTGTTATAATAGATTCATAAATAATAAGTCAAATTAGTTTATGTAACTGGCAAGGTGTAGGTTAAAATATTTAGGCATTTAAATACCCACAGAAACCATGAGAATGACAAATGTTTGTATTTATGAACAATCAAAATGACTATCAAATGTACTTATTCTGGAAATTGAAATTAGTGAAATTCTTTTTAATCATTTGGGCAATTAATTTTTGACAATTTTCTCATCCAGTTTAATAAATTAGAACAAGTGTTTGGTGTCTATGATTGCCAACTATTCAATGCCAATTATTTATTGCCCTCTATTGCTGTCTAGAAGGGTGGTCCTATAGATAAGCTATTTTAATATAAATCCTAATGATCAAAGCTTTAAATGTTATTTATGTAAATAAATAATAAAGCTTTATGTCATTGTAGTTACTATATTATTATACCATTTAAAACTTATTTTAAAGTGGATATTCCTGTGTGCCTACCCTTACACATGTGTGTACACTCATGCACTCTCATGCACATGCATGTGTGCACACATATACACACACAAATGAATAAATGGAACTTCTATATTTAAGGTAGGGAAACATCATTGAATGTGTATAAATACCAACAAGTTGAAGAAAACTTGCAGGAAGATGCCCTGGATAGCTCAGGAGATTCTTTCAGAAGGTGAAATAGAATGTTACACTTAAGTAACTGCTGACCATTTGACACAATCTCATAAGTCTCATAATTTTACCAGTGGTCAGTTTTTTCTCCACAAGTTAACCATTAACCTTAGATAACTCACCTTTGAAACTAGTTTTCCTCAATTGACTTCTTTTAAAAAATTTATTCTTAAAAAAGTTATTTTATAAGTAGGAAAAATGCTTCTTTTTTTTATTAACCAACATCTTTCATAAATAAATTTAATTCTGTTTATCCTAAAGAGGAAAAATAAACTTTGTTTTTATATTTAATACTGAAATAATAGATTATTGCCAGATACCAGTATTGACAAATTAATATAATAATGGATAGTGAGGATAAAAAATTATATTAGAAATAAATGTCAGTTAAGTCTTGCATTTAACTATATGTACAGTAACACATTAATCAACATTTGTATTTTATTTTCTAATTCATCTTGTCCTAGAAATGATTTAAGACATATGTCTAATATATGAGTTAGTACAAGAAAACTTCAAATGATTGTTTAGAGACTTTTGTTGTATAAAAATTAACCACGGTACTAGAAATTAGCCATAATCCTATCTAATAAGGAGGGAATATGCTAATTGACTGCCACGCCCTCAAAGATGGCGGCACCCACAGCCACAAGTTGGCTAGCAGGGGAGGGCAGTTGGGGGTGACCAGGCCTGCAGGGGAGGGCAGTTGGGGGTGACCACGCTGGCAGGGGAGGGCAGTTGGGTGCAACCAGGCCAGCAGGGGAGGGCAGTTGGGGGGGACCAGGCTGGCAGGGGAGGGCATTTGGGGCGACCTGAGGGGTCCCAGATTGGAGAGGGTGCAGGCTGGGCTGAGGGACATTCCTCCCCCCTCCCCCCCCCCCCAGTGCACAAATTTCATGCACCGGGCCTCTAGTTATTAATAAAAGGTTATTCTGCCTCTGACTGTGTTGGACTTTATAGTTCATCACAATTCTTAATAAAAGTTGCACCATATTTTAATTCGTCCAGCATTGCCCTTTCCAGCACCATCTCCTCTTTATTCCAGATGCTGCTCCTATGTAGGTCGGCGGGGTAATGGACCTCAGGCAATCTCCATTGGCAAGAACTGTGATAAATTTGGAATTGTTGTTCATGAACTGGGCCATGTGATAGGCTTTTGGCATGAACACACGCGACCAGATCGAGATAACCACGTAACCATCATAAGAGAAAACATCCAGCCAGGTAAGAATTGGGGTTCAGGGTGACTGAGTTTTCTTTGGCTGTGTTTGTACTGGTTATTATTTAACTTCTTAACAAATGTGAACTGTGTTTTTGTTTTGTTTTTTATATGATAGAATTAATATTAATATTTTGCCTGAGTAAAAAATACCCATGCTGGTGTTCTATTTTCTTCAGCATAAATGATCTTATGTGGTTTTTTTCCCCCTTAAGATTTAGCTCTTTTATTTCTAAACTTCTGTGTTTTCCAAGATTTAGCTCTTTTATTTCTAAACTTCTGTGTTTTCCAAGATTTCCAAGGCTATTGAACCATAAATATTATTAAAGATTTTAAAGCATTTTATATACTTAGCTCTATATTTATGTTGTATGGATTTAGAAAGAGTCCGGAGTTTACCGTCAAACATGCTGCTACCATAGGAATCGATATTATATCAGGGACAACTTCTGGAGAAATTCCAGGGAAATGAGTCATCCCAGGATAGTCTAAATAGTTTCCTTGAGATTTTTCTTAAACCTGGCTGCCCGAAAGACAAATATTTAAGAATGTTTTCAGCAGTTGAAATATAATACATAATTTAAATTTAATTTTCTCTGACAGTTGATGTGTGTACAGCTTTTTGTTTTAATTCTCATAACTTCATAAACATCCGTACATTTCAATTATCAAAAGAAAAATCTTAATGCTTGGAATTGTCTTATGAGATAGTACGCATTTCAAGTGTAAACAAAGTAAAAAATGTGTCTTTTTAAACTTATTCATGGCCAGTTTCAATTACAAACATGGAATTCTTTAGAATTCCCAGTAATTACCAGCATTGATCTATTTATTTACTCCTCACATATTTGGTGACAATTATTTCTTGAGGCACTAGTAGATGTTGGAAATGCTGATGAAAAACACAAAGCTTAGTATATAGTATACAGATGATTGCAAGTGAGTGAAAAAGGTAACAATTGTCATGTTGAGAATACCATGGAGTCCAAGCAAGGTGTGGCAAAATGTACTTTGGAGAGTCAAGGGGATGTCACAAAGAAACCAAAACTTGTAAGTGAAATAGAGTGTTCTAAGTGCACAGAAGAAGGATGGAGTTTCTAAGCTGAAGAAACATCATGATCAAAGATGCAAATACAGAAAATGGAATCATTTTACTTGCCCTTTGTGGCTGCATGGGAAGTTACAAGTGGGAAATTAGTTCGATCGCAGGGATCATCTACTAGTATCTAAAGCTAGGGAACTTAGATTTATACTTTGAGTCCTAGAGAATAATTGAAAGTTTGAAAGCCGATTGAGTTCAGATTTAAAAAAGAAAAAATAATTCTCTCATTTTGGAGATCATTTACTGAGAATGGGAAAATGGGCGTGGGGAAGATGAACCTGAAGTCAGGGAAACTCATTAGACAAGTAAGTAGTTTATGAGATAGCTAAGGCCTCAGTTAAGTAGCACAGGTCAAGAGAAATAAAAGGGAATAATCTTTCAAAATATTTTAAGAGGAGCATCATCATGTGAGGAGACCTCTTCAAGGTTTTATTTTTAGGCAACAGAATGAATAGTGACACCATCAAATGAAATAAGAAATATGGACAAGGCAACACTTTTGAGAGGGAGAAAAACAAATGATGATTTTATTGAGCATATCCTGGAGTTTGAGAAGCCTTTGGGTGATCCAAGTTGAGATTTTTACTAGACAAAGGGAAGATGAGTCTAAACTTTCAGATATATATCTATGATAGATATTTGATAGGGAATCTGTATGGAAATGCTGAAGGGAAAAGAAAATGATTGAGGATAGAAAATGGGGACATCAATATTTAAAGCAACATTTTGTGTATGTATGAAACCTATCTGATCCTGTTAACCAATGCCACCCCAATAAATGAAAATAAATAAGTAAGTAAAGAAACAAATACACAAATAAGTAAATGAAGTAACATTTTGTAGAAAAATTCCCACAAGACTAAGAAGGTTTGGTCTAAGAGGCAGAAAATTAATTGTGAAGCCTCAGAGAATAGATCATTTGAAGATTGATGAAATAATCTGTAGTGTTGAATATCAAAGTAAAGAAATGTATACTCCCAAAATAGAAGACTAATGCCTAAGCCAGCTATCAAGGTTCATATTATACTTTATATCTTTAGGTGAGAAATAAAAAGGAAATAATATTTCTGAAAATTATTTCAGTTACCAATTAAATGAGAAGTTATCTGTTAACCTTAGTTATTAAATTTCCTCTATTATGCAGACAAAACTTATAAAGGAAATAACTTTCAAGAATGATGTTTACTCTTAAAATAGGACTCTGTTTCAATGTAAATATGTACCTGAAACAAGCAAGAAATGTATAAGTAGTATGTAATGTATAATACTTAACACAGTGTTAAGCAAATATGACTACGGTATTTGTACTTTTGTTGACTCTATATTCAGGCCAATAGAAAACATAATTTATTAAGTGAGATTTCCTGAGTATTTGGAACTATTAGTAGTGCAATTCTAGTATGTAAGAATTCATATTGGAGATTAATCTTCAAAAAATTTATGACTTGCTTTGGCTCAGAAACTTAAGTGTTATTCAAGGGCAATGTCTAGTAAGTACAGACTTTAGCTTAGCATTTATATGCAAAATTAGTGACTATGATAAGAGGCAAATTGATATAAGGATTGATTGCTTTAATCCATTTTAGAATATGCGTTCAAGACGGCTTATTCTTTTGAAGCATATTCTTCCTAATCAAAAATGCTCTCCAGTTGGAACTTGGAGTAGATTAATCAAAGAGATTCTTATTCTAATTTTGAATAAAATTTGTTTCTGTTGTTTTACCTGTAGTAACAAAATCACATAGCTAAAGTTCGTCATGTTGTAGGTACTTATAAATATTGTTTTTATATTTTTTCAGTGTTTCATAGAAAGAATATAAAGCAAATAGGAAGATAATTTTTCTGTCTTGGCAACTTTAGTTATAAGAGAAAGGTGGGAAAGTCATTAAGTAAGATGTAACTTTTTATAATCACGTCTACAGTACTGAAAAAAAAATTAAAATTTTAAAGAAACAAATATGAGAACGCAGAGGAGTATACATAGAAAACAGACCCAAAGTATCCTTTTGATAATCCACTTTTTCCAAAATTAACTTATTAATGGAATTCAGTATTACACTTTCAATGTGATATTAACACAGCAACACTGGATGGATACTTTTGCACATTGTGGGTGTTAGCATGTAATTACGGTATGCATGAAGATTAGCCACTTTGTAAAGAGAAGGTGCAGGCATAGGAATAGCTCTTCTCTGCCTGGTAGAAAGCTTCTGAAATGTTATTTGTGCCTGCTTTTTAGGTCAAGAGTACAACTTTCTGAAGATGGAGCCTGGAGAAGTGAACTCCCTGGGAGAAAGATATGATTTTGACAGTATCATGCACTATGCCAGGAACACCTTCTCAAGGTTGGAGTCTCAGGTTATACCTTTTGACTTTTAATTCCTTTCCTCTGTGTGGCTTCTCACAAAGCTATGTCTAACATTAGAACTAGAAGCATTTTCAAACATTCCTGCCATAAAATACAAAAATACTTGATTGGTATCTATAGCCAACACTAGACATTTGAAATTTTTTAAACATGTTTTTATATTTGCTATCAGCAAACAGATGATTTTACTACTTTCTTTGTGATTTGGATGCCTTTTCCTGCTTTTTCTTGCCTAATTGCTCTGGCTAGGACTTCCAATACCGTGTTGAATAGAGGTGATGTGAGCAATTAGGCTTGCCTTATTCCTGATCTTGAATGCAAAGCTTTCAGTTTTCAACCATTAAATATGATGATCCTATAGGCTTTCATATATGGTCTTTATGATGTTGAGGTACTTTCCTTCTGTCCCTAGTTTGCTGAGTGTGTTTTTTTTTTTATCATGAAAGCGTATTGACTTCTGTAAAATGCTTTTTCTGCATCAATTAGATGAACATGTGGTTTTTGTTGTTCATTCTATTAATGTAAGTAATTGAAGTTTTATAGTTTCTTCTATTCTCGACCCACAGAGTCTATAAAACTTTTAGTTGTTTTCATGAATATAGCCCATCAGCAGATTTAGGTACTTACTTGTGGGAAGAATGGGGCTAAAGATAAGGGGCTTTTATATGCATGCATAGTTTGTAACATAGATTTTTGCTTAACTGGGGCTGCCCATTTTCCATTAGTAAAGAATTGTAAAATTTTATGAAGCTTATTTAAAAGCATAGCTAATTTACTCTTCCATTGTAGGTAAAACAAATGAAGGTTAGTAATTGAAGCCCTCAATGATCTGTCTCTAGTCTATTGATAGTGCCTTACTGAAGGTGTTTAGGAAGAGTCTGCATTGCTTAAGGGCCTGTGTCAAAAAGATAGTTAGTTATTAACTCCCTGACCACAAAGAAGGAACAAAAGAATGGTAACTGACCCCCCCACCCAATGAAAGGGAGGTTACCTCAGTGGACAGAATGAGTCAAAGTTCATCATTCGATTGTCTGAGTTTGAATACATACAATTTAAGATGGCCTGGTACTTTTAAAGCGGAATCTCTTTTGAAAACTGGAAAAAAAAACAACAACAAAAAACCTTTTCAGGCTACAAATCTGTTTTCAGAAATTGAAAATAGTGAATTATTAGTTCTGAATACTGCAGAAATTGTAACATTTCATTCATTTGGACTTACCGAGTTAATAATCTGTTGATTCATGCAACATAGTTGAATAATGGCTTTTCTCAATGCTGTCTTGTGCCTCAGCTTCCCCTTCAATTGCACTGGCCTCGCTGGAGTTGCATCCTATTAAGTATGTTTAAGCTCTCACTTTTGATGGTCAATAACCAACAATTACTAGTTTCCCCTCCCTACCTTCATCTTAGATAATTTACATATGGAGCTCTGTAGATACTTAGCTTTGGTTTTAAGAGTTCCATCCCATATTTGAGTTATCTAAGTTTTATCTAAAGATCATTACCTAAACCTAGAAGCTAGGGTGCTCAGTCATAAATTACTCATACTTCCTGTTACTTTTCTGTTTTATTATCTTTCAGACTCTTCTGTATTTTTCTCTGTTGTACCTGTCACTATCCCAGTTTATCATTCTTTTATTTAATGTCTTTCTCCTCCCATGAGAATGTGAGCATTATAAGAGGAGGAATTTTTTGTGTCTTTGATTTACTGCTGTAAATCCAGACCTATAACAATTCTCAGTAAATATTTCCTAAAGGTAGGGAAAAGTAGAACTGAAAATTTTTTAAACTTTAAAAAAAATATATATTTTATTGATTTTTTACAGAGAGAAGGGAGAGGGACAGAGAGTTAGAAACATCGATCAGCTGCCTCCCGCACACTCCCCACTGGGTATGTGCCTGCAACCAAGGAACATGCCCCTGACCGGAATCGAACCTGGGACCCTTGAGTCCACAGGCCAATGCTCTATCCACTGAGCCAAACCGGTTAGGGCAAATTTTTAAAACTTTTTAATCAAATTTATTGGGGTGACATTATCTCATAAAATTATGTAAGTTTCAGGTGTACAATTCTATAACACGGCATCTGTATATTGTATTGTGTGTTCACCACCCCAAGTCAACTTTCCTTCCATCACCATTTATCACCTCTATACCCTCATCTTCCTCCCCAATCCCCTTTCTCTCTGGTAATCACCATACTATTAGGCGTGTCTAAGAGGTTTTTTTGTTTTGCTTTGTTTTGATTTTTTGCTTAATCCCTTCACCTTTTTTACCCAGCCTTGGAACCCTATCTATAAGTCTGTTTCTATTTTGTTTATTAGTTTAGTTTGTTCATTATGTTACCAGCGAGACGATGAGACCTTGGTTTTTGTCTTCTTGAAGGAAAGATTTCAATCAAGAGACAAATTACAGCAAGCAAAGCAAGTAAAAATGCATTGGCTGCAGCAAAAACACACTTAGGACAGTGAAATAAGGAAGGGCATAGGAGAAGCAACAGGAGAGCCTAGCCCGGGCTGCTTTGCCTCACTGGGGAGTCAGAGAACAGGGGGCCTTGGAGACAAGTTCAGAGGATTAGCCTGGGATGAGCTGCCGCTCCCATTGCTCCCCTGGTTGCAAGTCTCATGGGGTCCCTTGAAGAAGGGTGGGGAAGGGAATGGTGCAGCATGCTCACCTGGGGGAGAGCGCACACTGGGTCTTTTTTGTTGAGGTTATGCTGGGTCCTTTGTGTTGAGGGTATTTATCTCTCTTGCTGGCAGTAATTTTAGGGGAGGTCTCAGGGAAGGGTCTCAATACAATATTAATTAACTTCCCAGGTGTGCTCTTTCAGGGACGTAGTCTCTGCTGATTGGTTGGCACCAGGGCAGGGGATTATTAGTGCAGCTGATCCTGAGGCGGTCACTGTGTCACTTATCTGGTTTTGCTGCTTTTCTGGGCCTGGAGCTGAAATACAACTGAGACCTAGATTTTATCTTTAGGGAGGAAAAGTCAGGGGATCGAAAAGTAGTTCCAGATAACAAGGATTATTTCTTATTTAAGATGGTGACAACACAGCCACCATGGTTCAGTGGTTGAGCGTGGACCTATGAACCAGGAGATCACGGTTCGATTCCCGATCAGGGCACATGCTTGAGTTGTGGGCTCGATCCCCAATGTGGGGCATGTAGGAGGCAGACTATCAAGGATTCTCTCTCATCATTGATGTTTCTATCTCTCTCTCCCTTTCCCTTCCTCTCTGAAATCAATAAAAATATGTTTTAAAAAAATGGTGACATTCTTGGAAAGTATGTAAACTGAAATAAATCACTATTGAAATGGCATCATGGGAAGCTTCCTGTTCCACTGAAGTTTTGAAAGCTTTCATAATTAATGATATCCAAACTAAACCTAAAATAAAATAAAATACCTTTATAGTTTATAGTTTCTCTTAAAAAAAAAAATCCTTAAATACACACTCTATTCTTCTCACCACTTAGAATAGTCCCCCAGTCCATTGAACTTTCTTTAGAGCTATAAAGTTGGTTTCTATTGCAAAATTAGGCTGTATTTTTAGTGCACTGGAGTCAGAATTTTTAGTTATGCATATTAAGAAAAATGGTGAGTTTCTATTACAACCTTGGGAACAAACAACTCAGTAGCCATACCTTACCATTATTAAGGCATTACTTAGTTAGTTGATTATTAATTTTAACATGAAACATTTTATACTATATGTATGTGTGTATATCATTGAACTATTTTGCTTTATACTCTTCTATCTAAAATTTGACACTTTGTTTTTCCTTGTTCTTTAACATGTACTGTAGTACTTGGAAGAATACTAAGATTAGAAGAATCTAAGATTTAATTAGAAGAATACTAATATTAAATTAGTAGTTTAACTAAGAAATGAAACTACACACACACACACACACACACACACGAATATATGTGTGTATTTTATTTCTCTTTTACAATTTTAGTAACTTCAGAAGTATTTATTGTAGGTTGTCTTTAAGAAATATAGCTACATGAGGAAGACTTGTTTTACAACTTGGTAATCCAAGGGGTTCTTAGATCTGCTTGAGAGATCCAAACAAAAGCCATGTGTATGTAGTGGGGGACTATACAGAATTCTAGGTTTCAAAAATCATGTAATATATATTTCTAAGGAAAATGTGAATATCATCACTGACTCCATGTTAGGCATACATACAGGGTGTTCCAAAAAATGTATACACAATTTGAATAATTTGTTAATTCCAGTGGATTAAATCTAAAAAGAAAGAAACATCAATAGCTATCAGCTATTAAAATGTGTATACTTTTTGGGGGAACACCCTGTATTTAGCACACATTTTATTTCTACTTTAATAAAAGTGTTTTGACACACGGGTTAAAGCACATCACTGATGTTTTTCCACGTAGATTGACTTGAGTTTGAAAAAACCCCTAATACTTGTAAGAAGTATATGTGTCTTAATTGGGATGACTTATGTGTGGCTTGCTTCTGATTTTTTTCAGGGGGATGTTTCTGGACACTATTCTCCCTTCTCGTGATGATAATGGCATACGTCCCGCAATCGGTCAGCGGACCCGTTTAAGCAAAGGAGATATTGCACAGGCAAGAAAGCTGTATAGATGTCCAGGTATTGCACCATACAAACACAGAAGTGTGATTGTGCCAGATGAATAAGCCACCATTTACTCAACTGTTTACATGTCTCTTTCCATGCTGGCAAGTGACTTATTCGGTTCAAAGTCAGTAATCAGAAAATGAAATAGGAGAGAACTCTGGAACACCCACTGATATAATTAAAAACAAATTGCTAGAAATCAAATTTCAAGCACAAGGATAGTATGTTTTATTTCTTTTAATTTAAGGAGTAAAAGAGTAAAAGGCATGTTTGTCTGATAGTTATTAAATAGTTGCATGATTTCAAAGTCAAATTCTGGGTCTCCTTGGTAATATAAAAAGAATGTCCTTTAGTTCGACTTCAGATTTGAGTCCTGAATGATCTTTTCTTGCAAGTACCATCATTAATGGCATATAAATTAAAATTTTATTATTGGAATTGATAAAATAGTTGCAAAAAATTAGTTCTAACCATGTTGCTAATGAGCTACTGATTGTTTTTCTACTGGATAAAGTTGTGGAAAAGATTAAAAGAAGGTCCTCATTGTTTTTTCTACTGAATAAAGTTATCAAAAAGATTAATGGAAGGTCTTAATAAGAAAGTTCCAAGGGAACACTAGTGCTTTATTGGTTCAAGGAAAAAAAAGAGTCAGCTTCCAATTTGGAAAGGCTGTGTATTCTATGCACCTACTGTATACTCAAAATCCTCTACTAGTAAAATACCTTATTTCAAAGAAACATATTTAACTTTACTTAACATGGATTTTCCAAATTGTTTTGTCCATGTATTTATGTAAAACACACATGCATGTGTAGTATTTGTTTGTTAAAATCTAAATTTTCACAGAGAAGATGAATTTATAAACAGATGTCACCACTATGATAAAATACATGGGTGATTCTTGGCTAATTTCTGGCAGTATTGGATGAACTATGTTTTTTAAATTTCAAAATAGAAAATTATAGAAAAGATTATGTGATTAATAACAACTAAATAAATGGACAGTTCCCATATAAAACATTTTGGTTATCTCTCTAAATAAATATGTGTACATTATACTTAAAGAGCACACTAGAGATGCATTTACACAATGAATTGTAGAAAAGTCAGTCAATGGGAATCAAAAGATTCACATGTATGACACTAATTTAATTTTCAACCTATGGCTCTTGAATATTTTAGTTATTAAGGGGAAAATAATTAGTAAGCATAATTTTTACTTGAGACTTTAATCATGTAAATAGATAAATGGGCTATTTTCTTACTTGAAATATAGTAATATGTACATTGCTTTGTTTAATATGGCAAAAACCACAGCATATAGGCATCATCATTACTGAGGAATATATCTTGTGTTTCTAAAACAGTATAAAAAACAAGTCTCTGTTTTGCAGCTTATAAAATGCAAGGAATAAGGGAGAACTAAAAGATATGTTTATATATTTTTTAAAAAGATATGTTAACTTTTAATTCCCAAGGTCTTTGAGAATGACTTGGGCTTGATTTTTTTTGTTTTCATTTTTTACTTTTTTATTTATTTCACTATAGTTGATGTTCAATCTTGAATTGGTTATATTAGTTTCAGGTGTACAATATAGCTATTGGATATTTTTTTACCTTACAGTGTGATCATCCCACTAATTCTAGTAATCATCCGTTCTTCATGCTCACCAAGCAACACACTCTCTTTCTCTCTTTTTCTAACTCTCCCTCTTTCTATTCTTTCTCTGTCCCTCTCAGCACTGTACCCACCCCTTCCGTCTCTCTCTCTCTCTCATAGGCGCTAGTTCTGAGCCCTATTTATGGTTATGTATTTAAGGTTCTTCATTTCCTCACAATGGGATTACTAATGATGTTAGTAAACATACACTTGCCATTGTCAAAATACAGTTCAGCTACACTGATGCTGTCGGTTTAACAGTAACGTCAAGTGCATCAGTGGAATTGTGGTAAAGACCCACAATTATACACTGAAGTCTAAATAGGATGACTCATCTGAGAATCACCTAAGAAAGTAAGAGTTTATAACGTGACACTTGGTTGTTTCTTGCTTTTAATAGAGAAGAGGGTTTTATAGAACTGCATATTTCTTTGGAGTCTGTCTTGCTGTTTTGTTAGAAATTGCTAATGAATAGAGTCAATAAAGCTATTTGGCTACTTTTTACTCCAACTTTTTTACTCCATATAAGTTTATGCTCAAAGTTCTATTGCTTCTGCATCCTATAGAGCTGTTCCTTAGAGTTTAATCTTGAAAGGATGCCTGACCTTCACACATAGATATTCAAGGTTATGACTTTTCTGGTCTGTAATTGCATTTTCTCTTAATTTATTTTTTCTGTAGCCCAATGCCCTTATTGTTTATAACTACTTAGTTTACTTATACCAACTATCAACTCTAATATTATCTTCATAATTCTTTCTTAATTAAATGTCAAATAACAGTGAATTTATGAGGAATATAAAGTAAATACCTTATAATAAAGAAACTTCTAAGGATATCTTTCTTTTAAATACAAATGTTATGTGTTGATTTTGTGTATGGTGACAGATAAAGGTCTAAGTTCATTTTTTTGTATGTGTATAACTAGTTCCCCCAACACCATTTGTTGAAGAGACTGTCCTTTCCTCACTGTGTAGTCTTGTCACCCTTATTGAATATCATTTTACTGTATATGCGTGGGCTTATTTTTGACTCTTTATTCTGATCCATTGGTCTGTATGTCTATCTTATGACAATATCACACTGTTTTGAATACTGTAGATTTATAATACGTTTTGAAGTCAAGAAGTGTGAAGCTTCTATATTTGTTCTTCTTAAGATTGTTTTAGTTGTTCAGATTTTGTGGTTCTATATGAATTTTAGGACTATTTTCTTTCATTTCTGCAAAAAAAGCCATCGGGATTTTGATAGAGATTGCATAGAATCTGTAGGTAATGTTGAGTGGTACGGAAATTGTAGCAATATTAAGTCTTCAAATCAATGAACACAGAATTTCTTTCCATTGCTTTGTTTTCTTTAATTTTTTTTCCTGTGGTGTTTTGTTGTTTTCAGTGTATAATCCTTTTTTCTCATTGGTTAAGGTATTCTGAATATTTTATTCTTTTTGATGCTATTATAGATGGGATAGTTTTATTTCCTTTTCAGATTACTTGTTGTTAGTGTGTGGAAATGTAACTGATTTTTGTATGTTGATTTTCTGTCCTGCTATTTTGCAGAATTTATTAATTCTAACAGTTTTTGTGTGAATGTGTGGCATCTTTATGGTTTTATACATATAAGATCATGTCATCTGCCTAGAGAGATAGAAGCTTAACTTCTGAATTATGTTTTGTTTTAGAGTAATTTCAATTAGGAAAGTGATAATTTTCTTTGCATATTTTTTAAAGCCTTTTTTTTTTTTTTACTGGATATGACTGCATTTGTAATTCAAAAACACATTCTAACAATTAAGGCCACAGTCTTCCTTTCTGTGAAAAAGGTATGTAAGTAGACGTTATACCTTAGGGCGTCATAAATAGTTGACCCTTACAAAGCTACTTTATGAAGTACATATCAACAAGATAGTCGCTTTAGAGAAGAGAAAACTGAGATGGAAGCTTATAAGACTCACTTATATGACATAATTAGTAATGCCATAACAGTTTCCTCATCCACATACCTTGTAGAGTATATGGGCAGACTATGCACTTTATCTTAGTGTCACATTTTCCTTGGTAATTTTTCTTTAATTCTTTTACTAATAAAGTTTGCTCTTTATATCTGAGCATTAATCCACAAATGGCTGGGAAAATGGATGAAAATCTTCTGTTAGTAGGAATTAGGTAGCCTGGGACAACCTCATGTACTAGGAAAATGGAAAAATAATTACCACAACTTGACTATTGTTTGTACTTCTTGCATTTATAAGCAGGTGCTATATATTTATTAAATTTTTGAATTATATGTTATATTTATTTTTTTATTTTTAGAATCTTTTATTTTTTATCATATTATTGTTATATTTGTGGATTAACTATATTTCTTTGTTTTAATTCTACTTTAGGAAATACAATACCAGCATTCTATGTAGTTTAGTGGAGGTTTCAATCATTACAGAATTTATTTTTAAATTGTTGTGAATTCTAGCTCTTTTCATTGAAACACACTCAACTCCGATATGACTAGCATCTAAACTGACTTTATTGAGAAGCACATTGTTTGCATCCATAAATCTTAACACATTTAAACTTTTTAAGTGTTCTTATAACATTATATTTATCAAGTGCCCTTCTTGATTCGTGAAAAGTCCTGAATTGTGTGTTTTTGACCAATGAGCATTTTTGTTTTGTTCTAAAGTTGCTTTTATCAGAATAAATATTGCTTACTCTTACTTTAAACTTATTTTGCTGTGCAAACATAATTTCTGTGTTTCAAAATAAATATTTATATTGTATCAGACTCTTTTTATAGCTTTGTTTTGTGTTATCAAAGTCATCATCTTTCTTTTTTACATTTAAGTTAAGATATGCAAAAGCATTGGCAACTTACTGAGGATATGATGAGCTGCCGGTAGCTGTTGGTCTCTCATATGGAAATATCTCAGTTTTTATTTCAGTCTCCGTCAGAGGGAAGAAACTGTTCTTTCACATTGTTGTTGAGTAAAAGTTTAAAGATGACTGGCTGCAGCAGAGAAATTATTTTTGGATTAAGGATACTTAAAGCATCCTAGGTTCATGTAGCTCATACCGTGTCTTACAAAACAACAGGAAAACCCGTTATAGAATGACTCTGACCTTGGCTGCACCAATAAGCTAATTACACTCTGCTTTTTGCCTTTGTTGAAATGGCCCTAGAGATATCAATCATACAGATCTGAAGGCTGTGGAGCTGATAATTTGCTATTTCAGATGACTAGTAATTACTTCCAAGAAATTAGACAGGCTTAGTAAGAGAAAAATGTAATTGCTTTTCCAGCAATTTGTACTTATGATCAACAGAAAAGAGAGAGTAAATAAACATCTACATCCTGTTGGAAAATTTGAGTCTTCCATGATTTTTTAAAATATATTTTCACTGATTTCAGAGAGAAAGGGAGAGATAGAAACATCAATGATGAGAGAGAATCATTGATTGGCTGACTCCTGCACATTAGACCGAGCCCGCAACCCAGGCATGTGCCCCCCCGACTGGAATCGAACCGGGGACCCCTCGGTTCGCAGGCCGACGCTCTACCCACTGAGCCAAACTGGCCAGGGCGTCCATGATGTTTTTTATCTTTCAGTTTTGGGGGGCTTATTTTGAGAAAAACTTTCATTGTGATTACATTTTGGTACCACTTTTATGGATTACTTATTAGTTAAGATTTTTTTCAACTTTCCCATGGAATAATTCAATGTAAACTGAACTTAGCCTCAATTTACATTGAATATGTTGATGGAATGTTTCATGTGGTCTCAGAGCCACATCAACAAGGTAGCGACTGACCTGAATCAAAATATGGGTCATTTACAAGTTGGCTACTGGCCCCTTGGGAAGGGATGGCACAGGTTTCCATGAGGAAGGACTTTATACAGGCCAGTTATTTATCTCCGAATCTTGTGATTCGGTTAACCCTAGTGATCCCATTAGGTATAGTGAAAGTCTTATGAGAGACATAAAAATAAATTATTTAGAAAGGGAAAGTCTTTTATAAAATACAAATACATACTCATGTCTAACACTAAAAGACTCAAGGTTTTAATTATGATGCCCATACCTTTCATTGAAATTAAAAATGATCTTATACTTTTTAGGAAATAATAGATGTTATCTTTTTTAAAAATCAAATATATGTATTTTATTTTTATTTCAGCATGTGGAGAAACCCTACAAGAGTCCAACGGCAACCTTTCCTCTCCAGGATTTCCCAACGGCTACCCTTCTTACACACACTGCATCTGGAGAGTTTCTGTGACCCCAGGGGAGAAGGTAGTTTATAATATCGAGAGTTCTCTTTTACTCTCATATAAGTGCAGAGGTTTATCTTTCAAATTTAATTTGCTTTATTTTTTATTCTTGTTTAATTAATCAAATAAAAGACTAAATAGTTCAAAAAATTATAATGGGTTTTAAAAGATTAAACATTCTATTTTACCAAAATATACAGAATGGCCAATGTAAAAGTAAAAGACCTATTGATAATTTCTTTATCAAATCATGCTCATTAAAAAGGAATAAAACATGATACAGAATGTCATTAAATTTATCTTCCTGAGGATGATCACATGAGTTATTATCTAGAAACATCACAGCACCCTTGTTACAAACATTCTTTTTTTTATAAGATTGTGTGTTTCCTGGAACTAGAGGACAATTTTTCAATATATTGGAAAATTTAATCAGTAGGTTAAAAGTCAGAAGCATGAAAATATCTAATTTTTAAAGTACATATGTTAGAGACAAAATTATGGAAGAATATATAACAAAACAATGCTTATTTATCCTTGTTGGATTTATATATAGGTTTCATTTCTTTTTCTTTTTTTAAAAGAAATATTTTTATTGATTTCAGAGAGGAAGGGAGAGAGAGATAGAAACATCAATGATGAGAGGAAATCACGGATTGGCTGCCTCCTGCACATCCCCTACTGGGGATCAAGCCCACAATCAGGCATGTGCCCTTGGTCAGAATCGAACTCAGGACCCTTCAGTCCGCAGGCCGACGCCCTATCCACTGAGCCAAACCAGCTAGGGCTCATTTCTTCTTTTATTTTCTATGATAAGCATATATTGTTTTATGCAGGAAAGACATAATTTATTCATTTATTTTTTATTTGTTTATTTGTTAGTTAATCCTCACTAGAAGATATTTTTCCCATTGATTTTTAGAGAGAATGGAAGGGAAGCAGGGAAGGAGGGAGAGAGGAAAAAAATCAATATGAGAGAGACACATTGATTGGTTGCCACCTGCACGCACCCTGACCAGGGCTGGGAATCGAACCCAGGTGTGTGCCCTTGACTGGGAATTGAACCCACAACCCTTTGGTGCTTGGGCCAACACTGTACAATAGCAGCTAGGGTGGGAATATATCATTTAAAAAATAAAAGGATTGTTGTACAACAGTGTGAATGTGCTTAATGCTACAGAACTGTACACTTGAAATGGTTAAAATGGTAAATGTTATGTTATGTATATTTTACCACACTAAAAAAAAAGGGAGATTGTCAGTGCATGTGTGTGTCTTTGTAGGAGTAAGCCTGCCAAGGTAAAGACAGAGTTCTGTCCAATCTGAGGCTGTTTTTGATGTTGCACAGGACATGCTGGTAACAGTCCAGGATGTGCAGCTGAGAATGTAGCTGTGTTGAGCTGATAAAAGCATGCAATATCGATTCTTCCATCCCTCAGAACTGATTGATCTTTTAACAAGGATAGACTTCTTACATATTGAATACAGTTAGCATTTTTTTTCTTTTCCTATGTAACCCATTTAAAAGCTATCATTTGACTACTTTAATTTTGAAAAAAAAAAAAAGTCTTGTTAACCACTCATCTAACAGTTTACACATATGGGGTCAATTTACAATATAATGTTTATATTGGCAAAGGCACAGCTTAAATCTAGCAATTGCTGTATAGATAAATTGTTGATTCCATTAAAATGTGTCTTCTGGTGTGTGAAAGAAATCCTTGCTATCAGGAATCTTATGCACATATATCAAGGACAAGGCCTAGTGATATCCTAGGCGAGCTCTGAAAAATAGTTGACGAAAGCAAGATACCACTTATCATGGATTTGCAGAGATAAGAGAGCTCAGATCTTGGAGTTAATGCAGTTAATTCAGAGAAACATGGAGAGCACTGACTGAAAAAGGAAGGAGGAGGACATTTTTAGCAGCATTGCAGAGTATCATCTAGAGAAGTTGCAACTGATTGGATATAAAGTTGGAGTGGGAATTAAGGAAAGGGAGGAAGAACATACATGCATAGCCCATGGACACAGAAAACAGTGTGGTGTAGGTCAGGAGAGAGGGGGGCAGAGGCTGGGTGGCGGTGGGCGAGGGTGGGGGAAATGGGGGTTATCTGTAATAGTGTCAGCAATAATAAAACATATATACTAAATATAACAAAATATAACAGAAAATTAATTTGTACCAAATGGGATATCTGCAAACTGTTTGCAGCAAAGTATATAATCACTGAATGAAACCTCTACTAAATTATGTAATGTATATATATGACTTCAGAAATAATAAAATCTATTACATTTTTAAAAGACCCTGTGAGTAGTTGGTGATGATAAATCAAAATTTTAAAATCCAGATATCACATATGTTTAAGCAGAAAAATTATTTTCATAGTATAATTTAACTCCTGTTTCTCACCTGTCATATAGTTAATCCCTGATGGAATTAGAGATCTATCTGAGTCAGACAAATAGTCTGTTGTAAGGCAGGGCCTTGAACCAAGGCCACAAGCTTCCTTGTCCATTCTTTACATTTTAAAGTAAAAAATCCTTTACTTTGACATGTTGATTTTCCTGAGAAAATTTAAAGTTGAGCCTATATTGCCCTAGTAGCTGATTAAGCTCAGTGGGTAGAGTGTCCGCCTACAGAGTGAAGAGTTTAGGGTTTGATTCTGGTCAAGGGCACATACCTCAGTTGCAGGCTCAGTCCCCAGCCCCAGTCGGAGTGATTGCGGGAGGCAACCAATTGATATGTTTCTCTCACATCCATGTTTCTCTCTCACTCTCTCTCTCCCCCTCCTTCTCTCCTTCCCTCCCTCCCTCCCTCCCTCCCTCCCTCCCTTCCATTCTTACTTTTTTTTAAAAAAATCAATGGAAAATATATCCTTGGTGAGGATTGACAACAACAAAATCGAGCCTATATTTTTTGTGTTTTCCAGTATAGTTAGATTAAGTAAATTGGATTATGTTTTTATTTCATAACTGTTGTAGCATTTATATTGTGATAGATGCCTGAATATGTATCATGGAAATAATAATAATATAGGAGAATCTTAACAATACTTCGGATTATTAGTGTTTTCTACACATTATCCAAGTAAGTCCTTCGGATTTAATTGTGCTGAGATCAGCTTGATATGATGACCTCCATGTTACAGTGAAAAAATTCATTCAAACTCAGAAATTTTAAGTAAACTAACAAACTGAGAAGCTAGAAGTTTAAGCCTGGCTTTCTGACTCCCAATCACAGACGGCTTCTAGTTGTAGGAAAAGATGCAAACTTTTCCCTTTAGCATGATACAGTTCAAAGCTGAACAAAAATGTAATGATCAATTATTCCAGGAGTTAGCACATTTTTTGGAAAGGATATACAGTAAATATTTTTAGCTTTGCAGGCTATACAGTCTGTTTCAAACACTCAGTTCTATTGTTTAGTCCTAGAAATTATGTAAAGTAATGTTTCCAACAAAACTTTCTTTATAAAAACTGCCTGAGGGCTGGATTTGGTGCATCGGGCATAGTTTACTGATCCCTGTTCTGCTCCTAGTCTTATTTCTGAGAAGAAAACTGTAGTTTCCCTAGTGAGTTTATAAGTCTTTCCTAAGCTGCTTCTGGATAAAGGCCAGAAATCTGTTTAATTTACTGCTTTTGATTCTAATATCTCTTTCCAAAAAACCACTTCATGCTATCAGTATAATTGACAAGATTTGTAACATCTTCCCCATCCTCAGCACAATAAGGTATAAATGTTCTAATTGATCTTTCTATGGTGCTCATGGAATTAGTTTAGGTAACCAATAACATCTTCATCATTCTGACAAAAGTTCATTGATTAATCTTCCTCTGAAGACTTACAAACATCTGGTCCCTAGACTATTGATCTTTCTTCAATATTCTTCACTTTCTTTGCATCATTGGACAGCAAAGTTTTTAATAAGCAAACTCCACCACAATTGTATCAATTTAACTTCACAGAATAACAAATAAGACTCTTGACTGATAAATGGGAAATTTTAAAATTTTCCCTTATATCTCCCTCAATCACCTGTTCCAAGGGAACTATGGGTACATCAATAAATGGTAATACTTATCATAAGAAATAAAACATCTATATAATTGTGCTCAGTAGTTTTTATTTTGCCATTCTTTGGGAAAAGATGCAACATATTTGCATAAAATAGTATAATATAAAACAATCAAGTATTTTCCAGTGCTTATGGTTTGTAATTCATGTATGGATTCTGCTAGCAACCTTAGGAAAGGGCCAGCATTTTACTTCTAAATCAGAGCCCTCCGATTTGATTTTTAGAAAATCTATCTTTATTACATTTTCTGCTTTGAAAGGGCTGTGTGTTTTATATTAAAGTAGGCCAGTTTTGTTTCTCTATGGTGCTTGGCGTTTAAAATAGAAGTTTAAAAACAAGATAGGAAACTTTTCTCTTTAGAGTTATTCTCCTTCCAAATGTGTGTGTGTGTGTTCCAGACTTCAAATATTAACTATTTGTTAGCAATCCAAACACATTGTTTCAATTCTGAATAAAGTTTGATGATATACATAACTTCCAATTTAGCTCATCTTTTTTACCTCATTGAGGAGGAAGTTGAATTATTCTTACACTAGTATAAAACTCCCCTTTAAAGCCAAGAGGGAAGGCACAGAATAAGCCTTGGGGCCTACTACTGTTCATGTCTGTAGTCTAGCTGTGCCAACTCTGCTGTAATAAATGAATTCTTATATGTTCTATACAGACTTGAATCCCTTGTGATTGCCATAAGGGAAATACAAATGCAAATGAAACTTAACACTGGTAGTATTCCCTGAGAAAAACCAGAAATTATTTCCCAATTATGTCCTAAGAATGACTTAATGCTGTATTGGTATTCAGAGATAGAGGAGAAACATTTTGGGATCTTCAGAAAAAAATAGTTCAGAAATAATGCATTTTGATAATCAACTGTTGAGGATTATTTACAAAGAAAGGAAATGATAAGTCCTTTATCCTTGGCTATTTTGGACATTTTTGTAAGCATTTTTGAAGGTATTTGGAACGATAAAATTAGATGCAGGAGAAGAAAAGCAAAGATAAAAGAAAAACTATGAATAAGGTAGATAAAAATAAATGAATCATTTTCTTAAAACCTAATTATGCCACATCTACTGTATTACATTTTTTAAAGTGTGTCTCTATTTTTACATCCTTAGTAGATTTCATCTCATTGTAATCTAGAAAGTACATTTAAAGAAATTTAAATGCATTCAATTTAATGGTGAAATGTTAATGCCATTATTAGGTACAATTGACTTTCATTATAGTTTGATAAATTCTTAGTTTCTATCTCTGTAAAATAATTATTTACATATGCAAGTATAACCAACTTTGCTGTACAATATTATGGGTGATCATTGTGATGCTGAGATATAAGGTGCCATGAAAAATATTTATTGTTATTCTGTATCTTCATTCTTGGAAAAAGTGAGCTAGTTAAGGATTGGTTTGTCTTAATTAGTACTTAACTTTCTGTTAAATATCAAGAAAGGAGAGAAGTACATGTTTTCTAACACAACAATGGTAGTAATTTCTTGAATATGGATTCAGGATTGATTGATATATCTTTTTCTTTCTTTTTTTAGTCATTCCTTGAGAGTTCTCTTACATCTAGATTTTTATATCATCACAAAAAGATTCTTTGTGTATTGTTACAAACTATAGTTTTATATTAGAGGCATTTCAAATACTTATATTTGTTGCTTATAGCCAAAGCCTTTTTCATTTTCGGGAATAAAGAACAGGTTAATCAAATGCCTCAATTATCTTAGCTATTTTAAGCAGAAAAGAGTTAGAATGAGTTGTGTGTTTTTTAAAATATATTTTTATTGATTTTATCAAGGAGGGGGGAGGGAGAGAGATAGAAACATCAATGATGAAAGAGAATCATTGATCATCCTCCTCCTACGTGCCCCATAATGGGGATTGAGCCTGCAACCCAGGCATGTGCCCTGACCAAACCAGTAATCAAACCATGACCTCCTGGTCCATAGGTCAACACTCAACCACTGGGCCATGCTGGCTGGGCCAGAATGAGTTTTAGAATATAAAAAAATATTTTCCAAATGCACTTTTTTCATCAGGTAGGTGAGTTTCTCATTAGTTTGACTCTTATTTGGATGTAATGAAGTATTAAAAGAGTTACATATTTGAAAAGTAAAGTCTTTTTATAAAGCAGTAAGGAAATTGTCTTGCCAAGAGCTGTTCTTGAATTATCTTCACGAAAGCAGCAGCATTTCAAAACAAAGTACAGAATAAAGAATCATGTGCAATATCTAACTTGAAAGGTCTTTGAATATATATATTCTTGGACCTAGAAAAGCATAATGACATCTGCCTTTGATTATACTTACATGGACAAATTCAAATTCTAGAGCTGTTCTTGAACATTTCAACATACACAATAATATTATGTTCTTGGAATATGGCACATGGTGGTTATTTTTAACATGATTATATATGTCTGGTCGCCTTTGAAATAAATTATTAAAAAGAAGACATTTATGGCAAAATCAGAATTTTCATGGTTTAAGTCATGTTTATCTTAGAAAATTCAAAATAAACTATATGAATAAAGGTTTCTGTTTGTTTCACAGTTGGTCAAATTTACAGAATCTGTGCTTTAGTTGCTAAAATGTTTGTGCTTTTATATTGTTAAACATAGTGAGAATGAGAAAATCAGGGTTGTGTGTTTTGTGTGTGTGTGTGTGTGTGTGTGTGTGTGTGTGTGTGTGTGTGTGTGGTGTTTGTAAAGAAAAATAAGAGAATACTAATGTAGAAAAAAAATTAGCATGTTTTCACAGTAGCCCTGGCCTCCTAACCTCCAAGAATCAAATCACCATGTGCAGTTACAATCATTTTAACTCGGTGCTGCTTTGCTTTGTTTTGCAGATCGTTTTAAATTTTACCACGATGGACTTATACAAAAGTAGTTTGTGCTGGTATGACTACATTGAAGTAAGAGATGGGTACTGGAGGAAATCGGCTCTCCTTGGTAAGAGATCAATCACCTTCTCTGTGGCCATGCGTATAGTCTGTCCTGCCTAAAGACTATTGATTCTTTCAAGAGTCATCTTAGAGTTAAAATTGTACGTGACCAACATATTAATTTTATTATTCTTTTTTAAACCACAAAAAACTACTCACGACAAATAGATAAATAAGTAAATTGATTTAAACCAGCTTCAAATATGAGGTAGTACTCAGATCTGATTTAGAATAATGACTTAGAGTAGCGTTCACATCTGTTATGCTTACAGTGACTACTCATCACAGTGTTTCTGTGGTTTTAATTTTAAAACCATAGTTTTAATGAGAAAATCAGGTAAATTGTGTGTGTGTGTGTGAGTGTGTGTGTGTGTGTGTGTGTGTGTGTGTGTGTGTTTGCTCAGGCAGCAGAATGTGAGCCGTTAGGTACAGCAGTTGGTAGCTGGTTTCCTATGCCAAGCACATTAGCTGGTACTGTAAGCGACACAGTTTTGCTTCTCAGAGAGTTTATTGTGGCTGGGAAGAGACATCTGTAGTTTGTGTCATAAATCATAGCTCAGATCTGATGCTCAGGGAAGTCTGCTGCCAACGTGAAACCACAGACCACACCATTAACTTGCATGAGGCATTTTCCTGTTGCCCTGCTTTACATAAAGGTGAGAGCTGCTGGCATGGCAGCATCTATTGATTTTTTGGATTGTGACTTTACCTTTATTCTTAGAGGTAGCTTTGCTCAGTTGCATTTATGTACCATACAGATCTTTTTTCTTACCACCTAAAACCTATTGCATGGACACTGTTATATTAAAAGTGACAGCAGCCTTAGGAAGTCCAAGAGAGAGCCCTGTAGAAATGTTTAAAAAGTGAGCAGACATAAAGATTTGAACAAATTGAGGTTGAGGAAAACATTGTCTTGAACATTTGGTTTCTTAGCCTAGATCAGGGGTCCTCAAACTTTTTAAACAGGGGGCCAGTTCACTGTCCCTCAGACCGTTGGAGAGCCGGACTATAGTTTAAAAAAAAACTATGAACAAATTCCTATGCACACTGCACATATCTTATTTTGAAGTAAAAAAACAAAACGGGAACAAATACAGTATTTGTATTTGCATGTGGCCCGCGGGCCGTAGTTTGAGGACCCCTGGAGATGAAGCAATTTGTGAGGCATGAAAAGAAAACATTTCATTGAACTCATATTGGAGAATCAAATGCAAATTAAAACATCAAGCGCACCATCAGCAGTGCGTGGTGTCTGAGGGCCCACACTGCCCTGGTCGGATCCGAGTTTTCATGTGGAAAGCTCTCCCCACTATTTCCTCCAAAACCTTTCCTCTCTTGGTAGTCACCAGACCGGCAACATCAGAATCTCTTGGAAGGTTGTTAAAAATGTAAAAATTTATGTCCACGCCATCCCTCCTGAATTAGAGACTGTATTTCACAGACTCCCTGGCAATTCATAGGCACATTACAGTTGAAGAAACATTGCACTCTTTTACATGCCCGCCGTGTGCTTTGCCAGTTAGAAGACAGTCCCTCACCTGTTCGCTGTTACTATGAATTTGTTTCACGTTGACTGCCGTCTTAAATATACTAAAACCATGTACAACATCATTGCGAGGGGCACGCAAAAATGGATGACAATGTATTGTTTGTAGAATAGTTTCATGTGCGTTGTCATATTTAACCATTTTGTTATCTCATTGAATTTTACCGCACAGTGGCAGACATACAGTAGGTAATGAGTATTTGTGGAGGGCTGAGGGAAGAAAGCAGGCATGACAGGATTTATTATATTCTTTGGTATTGTTCTTGCCAATGGATACACAGTTATAAAAATGTTAGAACTTACGTTCCATTTTTCTGATACTACTTGCCATTCTGCCTACTAACACTGCCGATTGTCGCGTTATAGATGAGATGGAGTGTATGCAGTAGCATGAGATCCTCAGAGCAGCGTGTCAGCCCCTCAGATGAGTTATCACTGAACCTGGCTAGACAAGGAACTCCACTTTGAGCTGAGGCATAGCCTTAACCAAGTTACTCCCCTACGAATGACCAGACTGACAATTTAAACGGGCTTCTCAGCATCATTTGTATTTTTTTCTTTTCTTCATAGAATAATATTCCCCACCTTGATGTCCCCACATGACTTTTTACAAGTATGTCTTTTGAGCTAGCTATTTCTTCCTTCTACAGAATAAAGATACTGACAGTTGGTTAATCTGAAGATATGTTCTAATATTTTATAAATAGACACAAAGGGATTGGTTTATTTATCTACCACTAATAAGTAAATATTAAGGTGTGGTTATGGTTCTAGTTACTAAGGATAGAGATAGGAACCAAATCAGGTTGGTGATATATATATATATTTACTTACTGTGGAAAGCAATTAGAATACAGAGTCATATTTAGGAGTCTCTCTTTATTGTTTTATTTCGTTTAGGCAGATTCTGTGGGGACAAATTGCCTGAAGTTCTTACCTCTACAGACAGCAGAATGTGGATTGAGTTTCGGAGCAGCAGTAATTGGGTAGGAAAAGGCTTTGCAGCTCTCTATGAAGGCAAGTCCCATTGAGTTTTACAGGTTACTTCCTCTAAGGAGCTCTTAATAGAAATATGCTTTCTCTCAAAAACATACGAGAATAAAAACAAAAAAAAATACAAACTCAGTACAGTGATATTGTAGCTGTATTTTAATTATAAGTTTTTGAAACTTTGTGTTATAATATTCACAAGGATGATTTTTAATAAAAATACTTGGTGAATGTAAATTGCATTTTTAGTACCATTGATGTAGTAACATATAAATGTACTCAGGGATGTGTACTGGGGGAAAAAGGACACGAGTTCTTAAACTGCAAATTTTTTTTTTCATGATGATATTAGAATATTGTGAAGAACTTATCCTTTTCCTTCGTATTGAATTTGTGTCTATTTGGTGCCTGTACTGCTGAAATGCTCTGCTAGAGGAAACTGCACAGAAAGTAATTGTGCAGTTTGGAGCACGCTTGGTCTAAAGGAGCGGGTCAGCATTCAGGGAAGAATCTGCTGTGCGCTTTGTTCTATCCTCTAAGACAATACAGTGGCATTGTGCTCCTGCCTTGCTCTGCTCCTGCCTGGTTGTGGGTGGAGGAGGCCCTTCTTGCTCCTGCCTCTGCTCGGACAGGAGTTTAGGAAATTCAGAAGACAGCAGACGTCTGCTTCCCTTAAACTTTTAAGTAAACGGAGGCATTTTGTTCCAAAGATTAACTGCATGGCAGTGAAAAGGGTTATTTGGACGGAGCCACAGATGTTGAGCACATGACGCTAGCCCACTGCCAGGGACTGGAGTTCTGTGCAGCTTCTCTCCTGATCAGCTCTTGTACCTGAGGTCAAAACTCGAAAGAAGCAGCTCAGGGAATCACAGAGCAGACTCACACGAAACTTGTAAAATCTCTCAAGCTTTTAAGTGTTAAAAATATGCTTTTTATTTTGAGTAAAAGTGTGGTGATTAAAACAGCACATATGCCTGTGCTGACTACTATCTAATATTTATAGTTAAGTGGCTAGAATTTGGGGGGCTTTTTTTTTTAACCATCTAAATTTTTACAACAGTATAACCGGCCAACTTTGATTTTTATAACCTGGTCTTTATGGAATTACTCAGCTACAGGCACTGAACTAAAATGTTATTTTTAGAAGAAAATGAAATGTCATGTCCAGATTTACTTATTTATTTTTGCTTTCCCCAGCAATCTGTGGAGGTGAGATCCGTAAAAATGAAGGACAGATTCAGTCTCCTAATTATCCCGATGATTACAGACCGATGAAAGAATGTGTGTGGAAAATAATGGTGTCAGAAGGCTACTATGTCGGGCTGACCTTTCAGGCCTTTGAGGTAAAGTCGTTTAGGCAACCTTCTTGGAGTGTACGCTCTATAAATGACAGTGGCATTTAAGGGGATCCTCATTAAATAAGCAAAGAACCAGAGAATCAGCGTTTTAATCAGCCAAGAAGCAAAGGATTGCCTATAAAATGTAACATCAAGAGCCAATGTGTTTTTTCCTCCCATCCTTTCTCTTGTTGCAGACATTTGCAAGAAGATTAAAGTGCGTTTACATTATCTGTGCTATCTGAATCAGAATGTTTGAAGTACTGACAATAGTTTCTTCTGACAAATGCATAGGCTTGTTTCACAAAACTGTTTTAAAGGTCCATTAAAAATAGAACTTTTATTTCTCTTCTAAACTAAGAGGTTAAGAGGTAGACTGTCTTTTTTGTTGTTTGGGGGGAAATCCATTTTTGCCATGACACAGAAAAGTGTTTCTATCAAAAAGAGGGATTTAAGTGTTCTTAGGAGCTTCTGCCTTCATGAAAAATATTAATGGAGGAGGAGGTCAGCACCAGCATCACGGTGTTAGATGATGCAGATTAAACGAAAGGCCAGTCAGAATTCTGGAGCAAAGTCTGGGCCCCAAATGACCAAACTGGCTAATGAGTCATTTTTTGTGAGGTCAAAGGAACTGAGGAATTAGAAGCCAAGTGATAGGGAAGTTATCAGGAACTTCAGAGTATGTTTAAGGCAAAAATCAGTCTAGAAATTGAGAGCCCAAGTGAAAAGGGAAGGAATGATGAGATGTGGTGGTAGGTCCAGGCAGGGGGTACCAGCTGCCACAACTGGAGATTATTACTTCACGGATTAGAACACTGATTCACTGTCCAAGCAAGTTTAAGGCAGTAGGGAACCCCATAGGCTGCCAGGGTGTGCTGAGTGCAGTGACCGTGGTGGTGACTCTGTCCCCACAGCAAGGGCACCAGGGGAATCCAGGCATTACTTACTCAGAAACCCAGAGAACATTGCACCCCCGCCTGCAAGCTGTGTAATATATTTTTTGAGACTCACCTCTACCACTTTGCATGTACCATTTAATTTCCCAAGGCATACATTTTTTTATCATGAAAAAGTTATCTTTTCTGCTGTGGTCATGATGTTTATGCTTTCAACCATTTTGCATGTTTGGAAACCTTGGTTCTGAGATCATTTGATTCACATTTGCATTTTATTATTTTAATGGAACAATAAAATTACAAATAATATTATTCAAATTAGAACATTGTATTGTTAACAGAAAACTAAAATTGGGTAGGATTCGCCTACTATTTAGAAAACAGAATAACTGGTTCACTGAAAAATTATCTACCTAATAACCTCCTTACTTATATGTTGTGATATTGCAAAAATTAAGCAATGGACTGTCTTTCAATATATAATCCAATGATTTATGGAATTTTATTACAAAAGTGATGTCAGAAAATGCATTTATTCCATGTATCTAAAAACTAGGATAGTACAAAGGACAAGTAGGAAAGATTTACATCTCAAGCACTTAGAACCATGCCTAACAAAGAGTAGTTACAATAAATACTTGTTGATTGAGTGAATGAATAAATTACTACTAAGCTTTAGGATTGAAAAAAATTATGTCATAGTTTGGCTCACACTACATTTATTTATTATCTCTAGTTTCTGTTCTTTCTCAATTTTGATTTATTTTCTTTATTTTTAATACATTTTTATTAATTTCAGAGAGGAAGGGAGAGGGAGAGAGAGATAGAAACCTTAATGATGAGAGAGAATCATTGATCGGCTGCCTCTTGCCTGTCCCACACCGGTCACGGAACCCGTAACCTGGGCATGTGCCCTGACCAGGAATCAAACTGTGACCTCCTGGTTCATAGGTTGATGTTCAACCACTGTGCAATGCCAGCTGGGCTGATTCATTTTCTTATGTCTTTTTTTTCTCCTTCATTTATATACTAGGCATATTTGAATGTCTAATAAGCCTCTCATCTTTAAATGACTAGAACCAAACCTTTGATTGTGTTGTCTTACTCACCAAGCCACTCTCCTTCAGTCTTCCTCATTTTAGTATTTACTATTTCAGTGTGTCTCTATTTACTCAAAGAATATCCTTAATTTGCCCTAACTGGTTTGGCTCAGTTGATAGAGCATCGGCCTGTGGACTGAAGGGTCCCAGGTTCGATTCCGGTCAAGGGCATGTACCTTGGTTGTGGGCATATCCCCAGTAGGAGGTGTGCAGGAGGCAGCTGATCGATGTTTCTAACTCTCTATCCCTTTCCCTTCCTCTCTGTAAAAAATCAATAAAATAGATTTTTTAAAAAAAAGAATATCCTTAATTCTACTTTTTCTCTTTAACCCCGAGGCCAGTCTATCAGCATATTTCATTTATTTTTTTCTTCAAAACACGTTCCATATATGACCTACTTTCTGGCCATCAGTCTGGTCCCAACACTGCCCCTTCTCACAGCTCTATCCTGGCCCTACCTATCCTGTTCTCCACACAGTCAAAGTGATACTTTTATAATGTCAGACAGATCATAACACTACTCTGCTTAAATTCTTTCAGGGTTTTTGCATTATGCCTAAAATAAAACACAGATTTAATTATCATGGACCAAGGTGTGCCACAATTTGGTCCCAAGCTCCTCCCTCTCTTTGTGCCAGCCCCTCTGGGCCTTCCTTTCTTTCCTCAAAAATGCCAAGTTTACTCCCACGTCACGGCATTTGTCATTGATGTTCTTCAACTTCTAGATCAGGGGTGGGCAAACTTTTTGACTCGAGGGCCACAATGGGTTCTTAAACTGGACCAGAGGGCCGGAACAAAAGCATGGATGGAGTGTTTGTGTGAACTAATATAAATTCAAAGTAAACATCATTACATAAAAGGGTATGGTCTTTTTTTTTTTTAGTTTTATTCATTTCAAACGGGCCGGATCCGGCCCGCGGGCCGTAGTTTGCCCACGGCTGTTCTAGATCTTTGCATTTTTCCCTCATCTCTTACCTAATTCAGATTTTTTCTCTTTTTTTTAGAATGAAGTTTAATCTATTTATTTTTAATTTATCTTTATTGTTAAAAGTATTACTTCTTAATCATCAACTCCTTAAAAAGTCCTTGCCTGGTAACTCAATTTAAAATATTTTCTTACCTACAAATGCCTACAAGCCATTATTCTGGTTTACTTCAGTTCATTGCACTTACATCTTTTGGAATTTGCTATGGATTTGCTTACATGGTTATTGTTTGTCTCTCACTAGATATGATCATCAGAGGGTAGGAATCTTACATGTCTTATTGATCACTGTATCTCCAGCATCGGTGCATGATTAATATTTGATAATGGGAGGGATGGATAGATGAAGTATATGTGGGTATGGGAGCACATGATGATTGGTAGGTGGAAATTAACATATCCTTCCTTTATCAGAGGTACATAAGTTTTCATAAAAAAGGAAATATGCCTGGATAGGTTTGGTTTATAGAGGACCTAGTGTGCGATGTGGCTGAATTTAACTAGAGATCCAGGGTTCTGTGAAATTCAGAAGTGAAAAGGGATTTAGAGATGTCCTAATATACCATCTAAATATTTTTAGATTAGGGAACTGTACTTATGCTATTAACCGAGTATCACACAAATGAGCCCTAAATCAGCATTAATTTTCAGGTACAGTATATCTTCATTACTCACAGATTCTGTATTTACACATTTGCCTACTCACTAAAACTTATTTGTAACCCTCAAATAACATTCACGATGCTTCTGGGCTATTCATGCACAGACACTGAGCAGCAAAATATTTGAGTCATCTGACATGCACATTCCCGGCTCTGATGTGCCTTATGGAGAAAATGTGTTAGACAAGCATCATTCAGGTGTAAGTTATAGTGCTTTTGGCCATGAGTTCAGTGTTAATGAGTTGACGATATTTTTAAGATGCCTTTAATCAGAAACACACAGAAAACAAGGTTAGGTATTGATTTCTTGACAAAAACTTTGTTACCAGAAGTTTGCAGGAACCTAACAAGTATTTCTGCAGGAGCAATGTATCCACTAATTCAGTGTTTTCAGTGACTCTATGGAACTGAACCATGAATACCAAAAATTGACTGTATATATATTTTTAATTTGTTCTAGTGGTCATTAGGTGGTTTATTTCATTTAGTCAGTTACCTTTTTATATCAATTTATTTCTGTTTGCATAATATATTTTCAATATACGGCTTATACATTTTATGTTGAAAATGTATAATTTTTAGAAAGTCCTCACCAATCTCCAGTGTTTTGTGTTCCCCCCGCCCCAGTTATTATTCCCTAATATCAGTCTTTGCCATTTTTCAAAAACTGTTTCTATTTTCATAACTTTTAAATCTTCTGTTGCTCTCTGCTCTTTCAGATAAAAGGGCCCTTAAGATAAACTTGTGCCCCATCCTGTTGAAATCTATAAAGGATTTACTAGCTGTCCATTATTTATACTTTTTTGGTGAATTTATGTCACAACTTTACCTCTCCTAATGCTATTTAGGCTTTAATGTAAATATAGAAAGACAATCTGGACAAGTGCTTTGGTTAATGAATCTTGGGTGCTTTTCAGCAGGAAAGGACACTGTTTGGGGGTTATAGGGTTCTGATACTTCTATATCATCCCCTTTGTGAAACTTTCTCTTCTCTAGTAGTTACAGGTGCGTTGCATCTGAACACCAGTACTGAAGTGAGCTTGTGCATGCATGGAGATAATGATGTCTACAGTCACTTCTGCTCAGCAGCAGGGTTATTCATAAAGAAGCCCCTAAAGTACTATCTTACTTGAGCACTTTCCGTATGCAGACATACAGAAGAGAAACAGTCTGGAAGACTGGAAATGTTTATAGTAACGACTTTCAAGAACTGTTAATAAAGCAGAAAAGAAGTGAAATAAACTCAGAGCTGACTTATGTTTACCTTGAAATCTCCACATACATTAATTTAAACGGGATTAAGTTTGAGGTACTTGTCCACATTTCTACACACTGATTTGGTTGTACTTCCCTTATAGAAACC